CTCCGTCAAATCCCACGCACATTAAGAAGAGTGAGAAGCTCGATTTATCCCAGCATAACATCTTGTTCCGTTCAATTAGCTAATTTTCAGTAAACCGTTTATAGTAGTCTACATTTGACTACGGCAAAAATAATTACTCACTCTTGAGTATTTTCTACCCATAATTAAATTCAATTGACTCAAATTTGAGAATATCTCATATACTCACTAGTAGCTTATTGAACGATAGTCATTAGAAAATCGAATCTCTCGTCCGTTTTTGTCAACAACAAAAAGTAAGAGTTGGATGCAAAACTTAACATTACCCAAAATTAAGTAAAAAGAAATTAAATTTAGAGTAATTTTTTCTCTGTGTGCGATTTAAGGGGGTAGAATTTTCACCGCAATGGGCATTTTACCCCCATTCTTCTATAGTTACACCACACCGATACGGCTTTGAAGGTATTCAATTTTCACGGAAAATCACTTCCCCCTCCCGCTAGATGCCAGCGCCTTATGCGAATGCCATTTTCGACACCTACATATAGCTTACAGCGTGTTTGTATGTCAGTCAGTCAGTCACTCTGTATCCTCCGTCGTCCCCGTTCGTTCCTTAAGGATCCCACACACGCACGCAGCTCACGGAGCAACAGCTGCTGCTGCTGTCTGACTAGAGTTGAGACTTGATTCCCTCTTGGGAGCTATCTCAGACAGAAAAGGGCAAAACGTCGTCGGTCGCCAGCAGTGTCGGGGCAGATTTTCGGCTTGATTCCATTAAAGTGTTGGTTGATGTTGGCGTGGGTGGTTAGGATTCGGGCGATGATCACATTACCGTGACGTGTGTTGTCGAAGTTCTACTTGATACGAAGCGTTGGCGGTGGTGGTGGTGGTGGTGATACGATAATAGATTTATTTATCCTTTCGATGATAGTATCGTTTGGCTTGGCTTTCTTTAGCTTTGACGGTGGGTTCGACGTGGAGTGAGATGGGTCCTTTGGTGGTCTGGTTGTATAGCTTGTTCGAAATGACTAGTCGTGTTGAAAAGGTTAACTAGGAAGGTGTCTAACAAAAGGTGATTGAATTTCATGCCTATGCTTACAGTGGATTAATCAATGGGTGTGAAATTGATCCTCGATAAAATCCTTGATACATTTAAAACTGTTTTTGTCACATCTCATATATCTCGTGGAGTGCTGTGGGGCTATGGGTTACTTATGTTAGTATTTTTAGTATTTGCTCCTTTTGCTAGCATCGACCTTATCTGAATAAATTCATGATATCAATCCTTGTCAAAGCCTTTGAGCATATAATCAGCACATTCATCAAAAGCGTGTAATTAAAACATGGTAACTGTTACATGCCAATTATTTGTATCTACTCTAAATGTCAATTTCAATCATAGAACGAGGACGTCTCATTTGTCGACAGTTCATGACAGCTCCGTTTCTGCTCCTCCCGGCTTTAACTTTGCATGCGTGTTCAGCGTTCGTTCGTGCATCCAGTAGGACCAACAAACATCGACGAGGAAAAGTATGAAATTTATGTACGTATCCATATGAACATGATTTCGATTTCACCGGCAAAAACGTGCTTGTAAAACGATACGGCTCGTTGTGCATGTAAACACCAGATTGAAGCACGAAACTGATTACAATGCAAACGATGGCAACAAACCGACCAAGGACCATGGACCACCCGCCCGCCACTCCAGCACTGTCCAAACTGCTACCAGCACTAGCTAAGGCTCCAGATTTTCATTGAATCCTTTCGAAATTGCACCCCTGTAGAATGCCTTGCTTGGGTGCATCGTATGCATGGGAGCCACTGAGAACTCACTTGCGGTTTGTTCTCCATCAAGAGCGGAAAAGTCGATCTCGCACGGCGGCGGGTGGAGAAGGGATTCCGGTTTGGGGTTGCATAATGCAGTGTTTGCACGGAAGGGAACACCCCTTGGGCAGCGTATGTGGATTGAGAATTTTGCCGTCAATGTCAAAGGGGAGTGATTCGGTCCGTTTGAAGGCCGGACAATGCTGGTTTTCGCCCTTTTCTTTGCGGATCGCAAATTTTGCTCGCTGTGATTTCATACCGCTTATAACAGTCAATGTTTTAATAATGGGCTTCTTTCTTGGATGGATTCCTTTAAATAACATTATTCAATGCGTTACACATACGATTTCCATTAGATTACTTTAATATCAATTATTAAAAGTCTTCTCTGTCCATATTATAGCTTGAACCAGCTTTGGCCGATGCTCAAATTATTGGTTGTGGTTGAGAATCATATAAAATAATAAGATGACTAGTACCAATTGTAAAAAGGTTACCGAAGTCAGAAATCCTGATTCAACCGGATGATCTCCAATAAAGCATACTCAGTTAAAATTTGTTCACCACGAATTACTTATACCTCATAAATGGTGTAACGGAGAAAAGTGATTATGATGTCAGTTTGGAGGGATTTTAACCTTTTTTTATAATATCATTTAGCCTATACAAAGGCTCAATTGCGTTAGCTTTGCGAAGCCGCAATTTAATGTATAATAGCATTATTTCTTATGACTAAAGTTAGTAGTTGCTGAGGACTTGCTGACGAGCCATTGAGAAAAATTCATTGAAGGCTGTTCGCGCCCGTCGACGGAAATCTTTCGGACACACGAGAAAAGTACGTTTTTACACAACGAAAATACACTTTATTACGCGATCACTAAATTACATTTATTACGGTAAAGGACGGAACGAACGAAGTGTCTTCCGTGACGCTTTATTATAACTGATATGTTTGCTCCTATCAATTGCCACACAGCTGACTCAATCAGTAGCGATCGGTCGTCAGCTGTATGTATATAAGGAGCAAGAACGGCTCGACGGGTGAGATTCTCTCTCGTACTTAATCTTAATTAGGGATGCACATGCAAAATCTGTGGCATCGATATTTCTTTTCTTCTTGCTCTAACATATGCCGGCCGCCTTGAAATACCTAATTTCAATCATCTATCTTACTCTAACATTAACTAACATTAACATCTAACAACTACATACAAATAACCACAAAACAATCGATCTTCTCTGCTGCTACCGGTGCTATATACCTTCGCTGACACAAATTTGCTACTACTGTTGGCCTATATTTGGATCAGCTGTTCTCGGATTCGATGGTATACATTGCTGCATTGCTGTTTTTCGTTGGTGCTACTGGACTTGGTTGTTGTTTCTTGCAGAAGGGAGGCTCCTTCTAGTTTAATTTCCTCAGTGACATCGTCGATCAGAAGTGAGTTGAGTATAGAACAGTGGAACAGAAATGGAGTATCCAGGTGTAGTAATAGTGAAACCGGAACAACATACCTGGCAAACTGCTGAAGTGGTGACAATGCAGGAGCAGCAGTTGTGCGTTGGCTGATACCACAGGAGTGGAACTTCGGATCAGAAAGTGGCTCCACTTGCCATTTGCGAACACTAGCGCACCTAGCGGTAGAAGGCATCTTCTGCCTGCAGTTAAGATAGGCAGCATGCTATTATAGTGTGAGTGCACATAGAAAGCCCGTGTGGAACGCTACCACAACACATCGGTTGTTGAGCAGAAAAACGAAACACTTTTTGATTCACCGATTTGTTTGCACTTCCCCTTCTGTTCTGTGCTGATACCTTCATTCTGTTCGATAACGACGGTTTCTGAACTGGATTCCTGGTGATATTCACGACGACTTTCGACGATCACAACTGATTGCTGGTTTCTTTACAGGTTCACATTCGATGTTTGATGCTGCATGTTTTGGACTGGCTCTGAACCTTGTTGACGATGTCGTACGATTTCGACTGGTGGTGGAATGGATGCCATCGGACGTGTACTCGTGACGGGACGGACATGGAATTGCGACGAGTGATTATCGTCGGAAATGGTGGTTGGTTTTTCGATGTATGTCGATGGTGATGCAGACTGCAGATGCAGGCCAAGTCGCTGAAAAAGATGAGAGGGTGCTTTTTTACCTTTACAAACATATAAACTAACGACTTGCCTGGAACGGAGGCCTCCGTGGCCTCCGCGGGTGCCCGTTGGCACCGGTGAAACTGTCCGTACTGACGATTCGGTTGCTTCTACGTTGACTTGGGAACTGCCGATGCATTAACGGTGCTGCTGCTACTTGTTGTGAACGCTGTGCAAACTGGCCATGCTTGCTGACATCCACTGGTAGTGCAACGAGGACGAAGCGCGCACTTCTCCCTCTGGGCGATGCAGATGCAGTTTACCTCAAATAGTCAAACGTAGTTTACGAATGAGTAACGGTACGGACGAGGCGCTGAGCGCTGGCGTAAGACGCTGCTGAATGCACTTCATGCTTGCATGGATGGACATTCACATGCAATTGACCACCACCGAAACTATACAGACCTCGACTGACAGGGTACTGACTGCCTCGATTTACTATCGGCTGAGACTGTTTCGGGAGACCGAAACAAAGGGCGAATCGTGACTGGTGTGTTAACTGGTGTGCGGAGGTCTTTCAACCTCCGCCGTTGGAGGAGTGCTAGTTCTCCCCGTTATGTGCATTGACGTTATCTCAAATAGGTAGTACGCAAATCTTTGAGATTGCTCTGCGGTAGCTACCGTCCGTTGTTTTGACGGTCACGACTCGAACATTCCCATCACGACCTGCGTAGACCTCTGTCACACGCCCCAGTAGCCTCTTCAGTGGTGGCTGATTCTCCTCCTTCAGGACCACCATGGTTCCAACTACCACGTTGTTTCTTCTCACTGTCCACTTGGTCCGATTGTGGAGGTCTGACAAGTACACACACTTAGAAATACCTAATTTTACACGTGACGGAATCCATATTTGACATAAAGGATGAGACGTAAACAAACATGTCATGTAAAATTAAGTGCTCCGAGACTGAAAAGTTCAGTACTCGACGAAAAGTACGTTTGATTGAGCTGAGCTTTGCGTCTATTACGACTCAATTTTATGTCAAAAATGACGCTCGTACATGTCAGTCTCAGAGCACCTAAATTTACATGAATTTTTTTAAGTGTGCAGATGTGACGATTTCTTCCACAGTTGCTGCGTGAACCGCTGCGCTTTCTGCCAGGCTGACAGACGATTTTCAGGAATCCCATTCAGATCGGGTTCCGGTATTGCCGTAAGAAGCCGCTGATTCAAGAAATGACAGGGAGTCAAGACTTCGTAGTCGTCCGGGTCGTTACTGAGAGATGTGAGTGGTCGTGAATTCAACACTGCTTCTACCTGGGTCAGGATTGTCTGCATCTCGTCGTACAGGAGAGTGTGCATGCCAATTGTTCGTTTGAAGAGCAGCTTGAACTATTAGAACGATTACTGATTCCCACAGTCCACCGAAGTTTGGCGAACGCGCTGGAATAAACCGGAACTGAATTTGGTCTTCAGCTGAACTTCTGATGATGGATGCCTGAAATTGTTGGTTGTCGAACAGGCGACGTAATTCGTCCAACTTTCGTCTCGTACCTACGAAGTTTCTTCCGTTGTTGTACATTATGATCTCCGGCTTGCCTCGCCGGGAAGAGAAACGCTTCAGAGTCGCAATAAATCCTTGAGCGGACAAGTCTGCCGCTAGTTCCAGGTGAACGGCCTTGGTTACTAGACAGACGTAGACGGCAACGAAGATTTTCACCGGGCAATTGCGCCGGTACGGATACGACTCTTGGAACGGGCCACAGTAATCCACACCTACACGCTGGACTGGTGGACACGGGGTGACTCTTTCGGGGGGAAGATCCGCCATGAACTGGTCCTGAATCTTGGGCTTCACTCTGAAACATGGGTCACACTCGTGGATGACCTTTCGCACTAAGTTCCGGGCGTTTGTTGGCCAGAACCGCTCTCTAACGGACGAAACCATGAGCTGTTGTCCACCATGCAACATCTTTCGATGGCAGGGCTGGTAGTGGGTATGTGATGTAATAGTAGTGACTTTAGTGACTAAAATAACGAAAATAGTGACCAAATAGTGACTTTTAAACAATTAAAAAGTGACCAATAGTGACATTTATTGATCGGAAAGATATTGTTCCATTATTCCGATATTTTTCATGCTTTTTAAAATAAAACAAATGATTTAAAGATCACATCAATTTGCTATAAAAAAAATAAGCATGTATTGAATAAGCAAGAGCCTAGTCCAATTCTAAACTCCATTTTCTCACACGAATTTGTTATTAGATCGCGAAATTGAGGCACAGAGAAAAATGTTCAAAGTACCGATTTTAGACAATTTTTTACAATTTTAGGATAGTATTTTTTGAGAATCTAGGATATATATAAAGCGATGCATTTAACAACATGAAGAACTGCAGTCCAGAATTAAATGTATAAAGATCTAAGTTAGCCATGATTATATTAATAAAAGATCCTTCTCTTCTTTGTAGTCGCTATAACTGACTGGTCGTTTTTTACTTTGCTCCATTCATCCCAAGAATGGAATCGTATGTAACACCTCAAACATAGAAAAAGAACTCTGCACAGTTTGAAAAAGTAGTGTAAATTTCTGTTCAGTATGATGCACATAAATGGAGCGTCACCTATCATATAAGTTGACATTATATATAATGCAAAGTTCTGAGACATTTCATGCAATGTAGCAAATATTGTATACAAAAGCCCATTATTGTAAACAACATTGTTTACAAGTTGCTCGGTTGCGTGAAATAAAATACAAGTTTAAGTGTTTTTTTTTCCTAGAATACAATCATTTAATGACTCAAATAAATCGAAATATGTATCTGTAGTATATCACCAATTTACCTTATCATTACTACAAAATCCAGTAAAATTTACTTGCCAAATCCCGTAACTTTTAAGTGATGCCAATTTGAAGATCATTGGAAAGTCCGATCAAATTTTCGTGAAAATCAATTGATTTCTATGTGAAAATATCTACGTGCCTTTTCAGGTGAATTTTAAGTAACTTTTTTTTTGTAGAGTAGGCTTGGACAACTCTCAAGATCTCAATGAAAATAGCCAGAATATTAAAAGTAGAACACATTTCGAAATCTCTGAAAATTTATGATAGGTCTATGTTCGAGATAAAAAAAAATCAAAATATTAGATTCCGTCAACAGTTAACGTTTCCATATGTTTGCAACTCTTCTTGTCAGATTTTACTTTGGGTTTTTAAAGTCAAATTCTTGACTCTCAACATTGGTCGTAAAAAGTGACTTTAGTGACTAAATTTTAAGGAATAGTGATTTTAGTGACTTTTTGTAGAAAAAAGTGACTTTTTAGTGACTGACTTGAAAATAGTGACCAAGTCACTAAAAAGTGACCTGCTACCAGCCCTGCGATGGTAGTGAACGACGACCAAGTACGTAAATGGATGACTAACTCCAGCGAGAAGCTTTCCATGAAGTTTGCTTTTCGTGAGCTCTTCGTTTGGTTGACTTTTGTGTAAAGTGGACCCTACACTACTACTTTTATTATAAATAATCGTATTGTCAATATTTGATATTGACAATATTTCTATGTTCACATGATCAATATTATTGTCAATAATTCGCCTTACATCATATGTGTGGGGTTCACTTAAGTTTGGGCTACAAAATGGTGCGTTGACAACCTGGAAGGAGCGGAATACCTAGCCCTGGTCCTCACAAATTCCTACTTCACGTCTCTCCGAGTCATATGATAACAAAAGACTACCAGCTGAAACATGGACACAGCTGGGTCGCGCAATGTTGCCAGTCCGGAAATAACTAAGTGAAGAGGTGCGACGCGAACACTGGCATGGTAACCAAAGTATGGTTATAGAGGACATGGCTCACCAAACCCGAGCGTCTGTTTCACCATGGAGGTGCGGCTCAAAACAGCGTATGTTCTCCATGTTGAGAGCGGCTGATCACCGTCCTAGTGCCACCGTGGGACTCTAAACAGAGCTGTGCACGATGGTCCCCCGACGAGACAGGGTTGCAAATACCGAAGAAAGAAATACGGATCGGAATAGTCAGGCACAGACCTTCGCGACGAAATTAGGACTACGATTGAAAACTTGGAACATGGAACTGCAAATCACTCGGCTTCCCGGGCTGCGATAGGTTAATCTATGGTGAACTTTAACCACGCAACTTTACATTCTTAGCACTGCAGGAACTTTGCTTCACAGTCTTAACACTGCAGGAACTTTGCTGAACGGGACAAAAGGTGCGAGCATCGAGCGACTACTTTCTACCAGAGCTGTGGCACCACCGACGAGCTGGGAACTGGCTTTGTAGTTATGGGTAAGATGCGCCAACGCGTGATTGGTTGGAAGCCGATCAACGCGAGGATGTGCAAGCTCAGGATTAAGGGCCGTTTCTTTAACTACAGCCTACCCTGCAGAACCGTTTCTGGGAGCTCTCATTAAGAATATTGATTAAATGTAGTATCAGAAACAACCTTGTGATTGAAAACTTCAAAGAAATGCTCGAATTGAGCATCCAGTCTAGATTCGTGTGAATCAACCTTAATCATATGTCATATGTCTATTCAAGGAGTTCCAGATCAACTTCGATGTATCTCAATTTCCCGTATTTTTGCTGAAAAGTACCAACAAGTCAATTGCAATAGAAGATTTTTCACTGATGGATCACGCATTGATGGATCCACTGGCTTTGGTGTCTTCAATGAATACTTAACCGCCTTCCGGAAAGTTCAGGAAACTTGTTCCGTTTATGTTGCTGAGCTAGCAGCAATCAACTTCGCATTGGGGATGATTTACGGCATGCCCACAGACCATCACTTCATCTTCTCGGATAGTCTCAGTTCGATCGAAGCTATTCGGTCGATGAAACAAGCTAGGCATTCACCTTAATTTCCTTTCAAAGGTAAGGGAGTAGATGAGTGTGCTGGTCGAAAGATCATATATGATTACCTTAGTATGGGTCAAAGGTCTGGATGTAAGTCGGGGCTTCATTCGCGTGATGTCAACCGCTACTCGTTAGACGCACATCTCTACAGAATAAAGCTCGTTGACAGTAATATATGTAGGTGCAGAACCGGTTTTGATGACATCGATCATCTAGGAGATTCAAAACTTCTCTAAGCCTATCCCAATTAACAATTTTGGTTTTATAAGGGTTCTGAAGACCGTGATTTAGACTTTTAGCATGCTTTAAAACCTCGATAAAACTTGCAATGTTACTTGGGATGATATCGATTTTTTTTTAAATCCATTAAATTCATTTTGAACAAAATTTCGTCGACATTGTTTTAGAAAGCACATGTATTTTGCGGAGTTATACTTTTGATTAGTATAAGAAGGATTATCAGGGTATATATAAGTATTAAAATTCTTATTTGTTTTTAATATTAATGTATATTGCAATTTTATCTTAGTCTTATAATTGATCTAAATTCGTTGACTTTTATTAACATTTGTATTCGAAGAATTTATGCTTACATCTCTATCAGAGATATCCTTTTAATTAGTTACAAAATTTGAAAACATATGGGTTTGGGATCACAAAACTATTTTTATTTTAACATTAACAATGTTAAGAATTGTGCATCTGCAGCATATGCATGTACAGTGGATTTGTTAGTTATTTCGACGCTTTTGGACAATGCTTGACATTTCCCATTTTTTCAATATTTTTTTGTTGAAAATCAACAGCATTGCTATCGGTGCGTAGAAATATTTCTGATCGGTTGGTGATAAAATTATTGAAATTAGTCCAAGGGAAGCTGAGTTATTAACTTTCAAAATCTTTCATAATTTCGTTACATGTTCCATTTTCAGTTTTCACAAAGTGTATCCCCATATAGAAATCACTGACGTAGTCTTACGTCAAAAATTTGTGCATCTTAAACATTTTCCTGCGTCCTAAATGTATTAAATTTATTCTGTGTGCACTACCCAACAAACAATTTTAGCTGCAGGCTAGTTCATACAGGTAAACATTAGCATTATAAACCAATTTTTTGCTGTATAAGCTAATCTGCAGCTAAAATTGTTTGTTGGGTTTACCTAGAATTTAATTTTGGTTCCTATGTCTGAGATTTGACTGATGGTGATATATTCAAAATAAAAAAAAATCTAGTTACAAAATTCATGAAGTTACCACACCATGAGAATTTTCTTAAGTTTGAGATGCTTACATTATCAAAATTCGACTTCAGACTTACAAAAAACATAAACTTGTTCAAAATCAGTAATCGTTGTTTTGGAATAGTTATAATCAAATTTATTGTTTCACCATTAAAATAATCCACAGTTAAAAATTCCGATTTTTAATAGTGATGTAAACATTCATTTACGTAAATTTGTACATCACGCAAACGAGCAACTTGTAAACAATGTTGTTTACAACAATGGGTTTTTGTATACAATATTTGCTGCATTGCATTAAATGTCTCCGAGCTTTACATGATATATAATGTAAACTTATATTATATGTGACGCTCCTTTTATGTGCATCATACTGAACAGAAATTTACACTACTTTTTCGAACTGTGCAGTGATCCTCAATGTCACAGAAAAAAATGTACCCAAAAACAAGATGCCTTGACGCAATTTGAGGGAGTTTTTAATAAACCGTGGTTTTGCAAAATTAAAAAAGTGCAGCAGGTCCCCCTTCGGCCCCGTCCAGATAAATTTTCTAGCCAATGATTCTCACGAACGAGTGTGAGGTGAATGAGAGGTGGAAGCAGTACTATGACGAGCACCTCAACGGTGAAGCAGCAGAAAACGAAGGTGGCACGACAACAGACCTTGGAGCACGCGCAGAAGACGACAGGCTACCGGCCCCTGATCTTCAAGAAGTTGAGGAGGAGATCGGTCGGCTGAAGAACAACAAAGCAACTGGTGTAGATCAACTACCAAGTGAGCTATTAAAATACGGTGGTGAAGCACTGGCTAGAGCGCTGCACTGGGTAATTGCCAGGATTTGGGA